GAGAAGAGAGCTGAGAACAAAACCTAGAGACTGGAGGTTATGAGTTAGCCCTTTACAGATACTGCTCCTTCTCTACCTGAGAGTGCTTTTGGACCCATTTGTGCTGTAGATTAAGTATTCACCCTGTAGCTTCACCTGCAGCAGGCACTGAGGAGACCACGAGGAAAACTTCTTCATGTGGAGTATGCAGGGAGACAGAGACCAGTGCACGTTACCTGCTGAAAGAATGCTGAGGGCCGGAGCATGGTTGTGCCGGCTGTGGGTAGCACCCTTCCTAGGTTGGGAGTGGCATGTGGAGATGTCAGGCACTGTCTGCCATTTAACTTTGCATTTCCCTAGTTTGAAGATGGTGTGAGCCTCCTTATTCTTTTCAGATCCACGAGACGATAGAAACTATCAACCAACTGAAGACACAGCGAGAATTCATGCTGAGCTTTGCCAGAGACCCTCAGGGTTTCATCAATGACTGGCTTCAGTCCCAGTGCCGCGACCTCAAGGTAAAGAACCTAAGAAAGGTCCAAAGTTGCTTAGGTTTTGAGTTTTACACATATGTGTTATTTCTGTAGTTGCTATAAAGGGAGAAGTAAGACCAGATTTTCAGGGTCCAGTTTATAGTTAGGTAGGGAAATGAAGGCAGAACTGACTGTCATGTGTTGATTTAATACTTCCTCTGTGCTGTCACTTACTGTTGGGATTCAGAGTGGAAATCCTGATTTCTGCTTTTGAAGCCACGAGTATTCTATATTTGTTTGTTTGTTTTTTGAGACAGAGCCTCAAGCTGTTGCCCTGGGTAGAGTGCTATGGCATCACAGCTCACAGCAACCTCTAACTTCTGGGCTTAAGCGATTCTCTTGCCTCAGCCTCCCAAGTAGCTGGGACTACAGGCGCCCACCACAATGCCCAGCTAGTTTTTGGTTGTAGATGTTGTTTGGTAGACCCAGGTTGGATTCGAACCTGTCAGCTCTGGTGTATGGCTAGCTCCTTAGCTGCTTGAGCTATAGGTGCTGAGCTGAGTATTTGTATTTGGATAAATTAGGCTAATACGAAAAGTAGAACACATATCAAGATTTCATCAATAGGCTGGGTGCAGTGGCTCACACCTGTAATCCTAGCTCTCTGGCAGGCCAAGGTGGGTGGATTGCTTGAGCTCATGAGTTCAAGACCAGCCTCAGCAAAGCAAGACCCCATCTCTACTAAAATTAGAAAAACTGG